CTACACAAGGATAATCAATTTGCGACAATGGTGGATGGGATTCGTGAGCTAAAGAAAGACCCGAAAAGAAACGCCGAAACAATCGAGGGCTTGCGCGACCGGATGAACGATCGTGCCCATGAAATTGCTCAAGAGAAGCTGAAGAACGATCGTGGCTTCCTCGACAAGGACCCCGAGGGTGTGCCGCTGAGTATTCTCCCGCTCGATGAGGACCGACAATTCCATGAGCTGGAGGTGAGGCGTGCGGCGCTCAAGGCGAAGGATTCAGGGCGCAACTCGACTGCGGTACGAGATGTGGAGGCCCAGCTTAATGACCGTGCACATGAGCTGGCAAATGACCAGAAGAAAGAAGAATTAAAGGGCATCGACGAAGCCCCAGAGGGCATACCAATCCACGTGCTTCAGCCGCATGACGACCCCAGGTTCGGCTCGATGGTGAATGAGCTGCGCAGGTTGAAGAAACACCCGAATGAGGGTGACACTGGCGTGGGGGATTTACTTCGCCAAATGAACGACCGCGCCCATGAACTGGCGGCGGATCGGCTGCAGGGCGATCGCGGCTACTTGGAGAAGGATCCTCTCGGTGTCCCGCTGGAACTGCTGCCTCTCTCCTCGGACGCTGACTTCCACGGGATGGAGGTGCAGCGTGCCGTGCTTAAGGCTCAGGACCCACGGCGGAACGCTGGTGAGATTGCGGACCTGGAGAAGAGGCTGAACGAGCGGGCAGTGCAGCTGGCGGAGGATCAGCGACAGAGGGATCTGGAGGGTCTTGACAAGGAGCCTGAGTCCATCCCGCTCTCTGTACTTGATCCGCATAGTGACAAGGGGTTCGCGAAACTTGTGGATCAGCTGCGCGGGCTGCAGGATGACCCACAAGCTTGTGACGAAATTGCGGCTCTGAAGTGCGAAATGAACGAGCTTGCGCATGCGCTGGCCAAGCAGCGGAAGGAGGGTGACCGTGGTTACCTTGATAAAGAGCCACAAGGGGTTCCTCTCGAGGTGTTACCACTGAACACCGACCCGTCGTTCCGGCAGATGGAGGCGGAGCGTGCAAAGCTAAAGGCGCAGAGCCCGCGACACAACGCGAAGAAGATCAAGGAGCTGGAGGATGCGCTGAATAACCGCGCCCACGAGCTTGCACGAGACCAGCTGCGTGAGGATCTGAAGGGTGTCGATGAGCAGCCGCGCGGCATTCCGCTTGAGGTGCTTCGGCCTCACGACGATCCATCGTTCTCGGCGTTGGTGAATGACATTCGTCGGCTGAAGGAGGACCCCGAGGCGAACGCCAATGCTGTTGCAGATGTTCTTGGTGCAATGAGTGATCGCGTTCAGGAGCTGGCGGCAGCACAGCTTGACCGGGATTTTCTGGACCCCAATCCTGAGGGTGTCCCGCTTGAGGTCCTGCCACTCGACACCGATCCTGAGTTTCACGCCATGGAGACGGAGCGGGTGAAACTAAAGCTGAGCGACCCGCGGCGCAATGCAAAGAAGATCAAGGGCCTCGAGGTGGAAATGAACGCGCGAGCACATGACCTTGCTCGTCAGCAGCTTCAGGACGATCTTTCCGGTGTGGATGCCGCGCCCAAGGGAATCCCGTTGCCACTGCTGAAGGTCACGGAGGATGCGGAATTCGCGGCGTTCGTTCCCCAACTGCGTGAGCTCAAGAAGAACCCCGAGGGAAACGCCGAGGCGATCCGCAATGTGGAGAAGATGATGAACAACAAGGCGTACGAGCTTGCCGATGGTCTGTTAGAGGGCGACCGTGGCTACCTGGACCCCGCCCCGCTTGGCGTGGCTCTGTCGGAGCTCCCGCTGAATGCGGACGATGCATTCTCGCGGATGGAGGTTGAACGCGCCAAGCTTAAAGCGCAGGATCCGCGACGGAACGCTGCGAAGGTGGTGGATCTTGAGGCCAAGCTTAATGGTCGTGCTCTCGATCTTGCGAAAGCGCAGCTTGCAGAAGACTTGAGGGGGTTTCCGAGCCAATATGAGGGGATTGATACGGCACAGTTGAGGCCCCATGATGACAAGGAGTTTGCCCTGATGGTTCCGGAGCTCCGGCGCATGAAGAAAGAAGGTCAGAGCGAGGCGCTGCGGGCACACACGGCGGAAATGGACCGCCGCCTGGGGGAGATCGCGAAGGAGCTTGTGGATGGCGACCTTTGGTTCCTCGACAAGGAGCCCGAGGGCGTGCTGCTAGAGCACGTGCCGCTGGAGCAAGATGCGGTCTTTGAGCAGCTGCGGCGTGAGCGCGCGCAGCTCAAGGCGGAGGATCCTAGGGCGAGTGCTGCTCTGATTAAGGACAAGGAGGCCGCTATGAACGAGAGGGTGCATGAACTTGCAAGGCAAGTGAAGGACGAAGACTTCAGTGGGCTCGAGAAGGAGCCGCACGGCATTCCGTTGAACCTTCTTCCCCTTCGTGAAGACCCCGTGGCTGCTAAGCTCATCCTCCTCTCACGCGAGGAGCGTCGCCGTGGCGACAAATCGCCCTCCTGCGGAAGGCTGCGCGAAATTCAGGAGGAATTGAACGCACGGGCGCAGGAGTTGGCCAAGGAGGCGCTCGCTGGCGACCGGGAGAAGTACCTCGATCGCGTTCCCGAAGGCGTTCCCGTAGAGGTTCTGCCGCTCGACACGGATCCGAGGTTCCACGCGTTGGAGGTGGAGTGTGCGAAGCTGAAACTGGAGGACCCGCAAGGGAACGCTGAAAGAATTGAGCAGCTTGAAGAGGAGCTGAACGAGCGGGCACACGAGCTGGCCAGGGAACAGCTGCAGGAGGATCTGTCTGGTCTCGAGCGGGCGCCATGCGGCGTGCCAATGGAGGTGCTGAATCCCCACAAGGACGCTGAGTTCAATAGGGCAGCGGAGCACCTCCGCGAGCTCAAGAGGGACCCGCGTCGGAACGATGCGAAGATAAAGGAGTTGAAGGCCAAGATGGGCGGGCGTGCGAGGGAGCTGGCCCGCGCGATGCTGGACGAGGGCCGTGAGTTCCTTGACCCGATGCCGGAGGGCGTTCCGCTCGCCGATCTTCCCCTCGACAAGGACCCCACGTTCCACACCAAGGAGGTGGAGCGTGTGACGCTAAGGGTGAACGATCCTGTGAAGAATGCTGCCGAGATCACCGCGCTTGAGGAGGAACTGAACAGGCGGCTGCATGAGCTGGCGAAGGATCAGCTGCAGGAGGACCTCAAGGGGCTTGAGGGCGCGCCGAGAGGTGTTCCGATGGCGCTCCTTCGGCCCCACGACGACGCCGCGTTTGCATCACTGGTGCCCGGGCTCCGGCAGCTGAAGAAGGACCCAAAGCGTAACGCCGATGACATCCTTGCCACTGAGGGGAAGATGGATGCTTGTGCGGACGAGCTGGCGGAGGACTTCTTGCGCACCGACCGTGAAGCGTACCTCGACCTTGCGCCCCTGGGCGTTCCACTGAACACACTCCCGCTGGACACGGACCCGCAGTTCAAGGCAAAGGAAACTGAGCGGCTGCAGCTGATGCTGAACCCGAAGGACAACGAGGAGGCGATAGCCGAACTTGAGGGTGTGTTGAACGCTCGTGCATTCCAGCTGGCGGAAGAGAAGCTGAAGAACGATCGTGGCTTCCTCGACAAGGACCCCGAGGGTGTGCCGCTGAGTATTCTCCCGCTCGATGAGGACCGACAATTCCATGAGCTGGAGGTGAGGCGTGCGGCGCTCAAGGCGAAGGATCCAGTGCGTAACGCTGCCGCTATACGAGACCTGGAAGATGAACTTAATGATCGCGCACACGAGCTGGCTAAGGAACAGCTGGCGGAGGATGTACGCGGTGTGGATCCGGCTCCACACGGAATTCCCATTGCTATGCTAAAGCCGCATAGCGATCCTGAGTTTCGGGAGATGGTGGATGCGCTTCGTCAGCTCAAGGCCGATGCAAATGCTGATCCTGCCGCGATAAGTGCCCTGGAAGCCGATATGAACGATCGCGCCTTGAAGTTAGCTGAGGAGGCTCTTCATAGGTCCCGAGAGAAGCTTGACCGAAACCCTGAGGGTGTGCCGTTGGAAGCCCTTCCTCTGGATGAGGATAAAGCGCTCCGTCAGATCGAGGTAGAGATGGCGAAGCTGAGGCTGGCGGGTCAGGGGAAGAATGGGCCTCGTATTGCGGACTTGGAGGAAATGTATAATGATCGCGTGGGAGAGCTTGCTCGTGAAAGAAAGTCCAAGGATCTTGAAGGCCTGGAGCAGTGTCCTCAAGGCATCCCGTTAGCCCTGTTGAATCCGCATGACGATTCTGTTTTTGCGTCCTTGGTGAATGGAGCGCGCTGTGGTGCGGACGGATCCAGAGAGCTTCCTGCTGGTGGAGCTCTCGATGCGCTCAACGAGCGTGCCAATGCGCTTGCTGAGGAGGTGCTGAAAGGCGATCGTGGCTACCTTGTGCGTGAGCCCGAGGGAATTCCTCTGAGCGCTCTGCCGCTGGACAGCGATCCCGAGTTCCACAGCATGGAGGTGGAGCGTGCCGTATTGAAACTGACTGACCCGAGGAAGAACGCGGACAAAATCGCGGACCTCGAGGAGCGCCTCAACGATCGCGCACGCGAACTGGCGAGGGAGCAGCTGGGCGGTGACCGCGGCTATCTTGACCCCGATCCGGAGGGCGTCCCCATCGCGGACCTCTCTCTTGACGAGGACCCGAAGTTCCATCAGATGGAAGTGGAGCGTGCGAAGCTGAAGGCGAGAGATCCTGTTAGTAATGCGTACCGAATCCGTGAGCTGGAGGAGAAGCTGAACGACCGCGCACACGAGCTGGCCAATAAGAAGCTTGAGGAGGACCTGGATGGTATGGACCGGGAGCCTGAGGGTGTGCCCCTCGCACTGCTGCAGCCACATGAAGATGCCGAGTTTGTTTCCTTCCTTCCAGAGCTCCGCCGCCTCAAGAAAGACCCTCTGCGTAACGCGGCGAAGATCAAGGGGCTGCAGAGCAAGTTGAATGACAGGGTGCATGAGTTGGCGAAGGAAGCGATTGCTGAGGGACGCAAGTTCCTCGACCCTGAGCCGGAGGGTGTGCCACTTGAGTTGCTGCCTCTTGACACGGACAAAAAGTTTAGCACCTTGGAAAAGGAGCTCCGTGCCCTGCAGGCGGCGCCTCGACGAAATGAAACTGCTATCGAAAACCTAATGGGTCGACTTAACGAGCGTGCCCATGAGCTGGCGAGGGAGAAGATTCATGGCGACCGTGGCTTCCTCGATCCTGTACCGGAGGGTGTTGCCCTTGCAGACATACCACTCGACTCGGATCCGAAGTTCCGCAGCATAGAAGCAGAGCGGGCTAAGCTAAGGGAGGACCCCGAGAATAATGCCTCTGCGATCGCCAAGCTGGAAAGTGAACTGAACGGTTTGGCCCACGAATTGGCGAAGGAGGTGAAAAAAGCCAATCGCTCCTTCCTGAACCCGACGTCTCATGGTATCCCAAAGGAGCTCCTGCCGCTTGATGAGGATCGCGGCTTCCAGGCCATGGAGCAGCAGTTGAGAAAGCTAATGCGTGACCGTGGCCGAAACGCGGCTGCTATTGAAAATCTTCAGGATATGATGCAGGATCGGGCGGACGAGCTTGGGCTTCAGATGCTGAAGGGTGATCGGGATACCTACCTGGATCCCTTCCCAGAGTCTGTTGATATTGCGGATGTGGCCGTTGATGATGATGCCGAGTTTGGAAAGTTGGAACTGGAGCGTGCCATCTTGAAGGCAGAGGATCCTCTGCAGAACAAGGATAGGGTTGCGGAGCTGGAGGAAAAATTGAACGAGCGCCTTCACGAGCTGGCTAAGGAGCGTATTAAGAAGGACAGGGCGTTCTTGGACACTGAGCCGGAAGGTATTCCGTTGGAGGATGTTCCCCTTGATTCTGATGTGGAGTTTGGTCGCCTTGAGGCTCACCTGCGTAAGCTGAGCCGCGAGCCGAGACGCAATGGACCTACCATAGCTGACCTGAAGGAGCGTATGAACGATCGCGCTCATGAGCTTGCAAAGGAGATTGTGGCTGATGATCTCAAGTGCCTGAGCGACAAGTACAGAGGTATCCCGAAGGAGGAGTTAAACCTCCACAAAGACAACGCCTTCAAGGAGCTTGCCAACAAACGGCGCCGTGCGCGCACCAGGGGTTCAACGCCCGTGGAAATAACCGCTCTTGAGGATGCAATGGATGCACGTGCGTGTGAAATTGCCGACGATGTCATAAACAATGAACGTGCCTTCTTGGACCCTGAGCCAGAAGGAATGTGTCTGGCCGACGTGCCTCTTGACACAGATGAGACCTTCCTTGCACTGGAGGCAGAGCGCCGAAAGCGCATGAAGGACCCGCGTTCTGCTAAGCGCAACAAGGACATCATCCGCGATTTGGAGGACAACATGAATGACCGCGCCGCTGCGCTTGCGAAGGCCGAATTTGCTAAGATGCGTGATTTTATGGATCAAGAGCCAGAAGGTGTTCCGCTCGCTGAACTTCAGCTTGATATGGACCCTGAATTCAAGGAGGCTGAGGTGGCGCGTTACAAGCTGCTTAAGGACCCCAATCACTCGGTGGATGAGGTGGCGGTGCTGGAGGCGGCCATGAACGACCGCGCACATGAGCTTGCCAGGGCCGTCCTCGCAAAAGATCGTCGGTTCCTCGACCCTGAGCCGGAGGGCGTACCGCTGGAAGAATTACCGCTTGATACAGACCAAGAGTTCAACGAGCTTGCGATGGAGCGCCGTCAACTGATGAAGGATGGAAAGAAGTGTAAAAATCCTGAGGTTAAAGCTATCGAAGGCAAGATGAACGACCGCGTACACGAGCTTGCCAAGGACTACCTCAAGAAGAACCGCGCCTTCCTGAATCCCGAGCCGGAAGGGGTGCCACTGGAGGATGTCCCCATTGGCCGCGACCCTGTCTTCCTTGACACGGAGCGAGAACTCGCGAAGGCGCAGAAGGACCCAAAGGCGACCGCTGAAAAAATACGCCGTCTCCAGGAAGAGCTTGATAACCGTGCCCACGATGTGGCCAAGGAGCTCCTCAGGAAGGAGCGAGCATTCCTTGATCCTGAGCCGTTCGGCGTCCCGCTGGCTGAACTGCCCCTCAACCACGATCCAATTCTTAACCCCTTGGAACGTGACCGCCGTGCGCTGAAGAAGGATCCGAAGCGAAACGCTGACGCGATTCGCAACCTTGAGGATGAGATCCAGGATCGTGTCAGGGAAATCGTAAAGGAGTTCGTGGAGAAGGAGCGCGCGTTCCTTGACCCCGAGCCAGAGGGTGTGCCTCTGTGTCAGCTTCCTCTCGACACGGATAGGCAATTCCGAGACATGGAGCACGAGCTGCGAGCCCTGAAAAAGCAGCCAGCTAAGAACAAGGACATGATCGGAGAATTGCAGGAAGAGATGAACAACCGAGCGCACGAGCTGGCGAAAGACTACCTGCAGAAGAACCGCGCGTTCCTCGACCCTGAGCCACTCGGCGTGCCACTTTCCGAACTGCCCCTCGGCGATGACCCGGAGTTCCACGACATGGAGGCGCGCCACCGTGAACTAAAGAAGAACCCGACGGTCAACGTCTTGCCGCTCAAGGAGCTGGAGGACGAGATGAACGAACGTGCAAAGGAGCTGGCGAGGGAGTTCCTCAGGAAGGAGCGTGCCTTCCTTGACCAAGAGCCCGAGGGTATACCGTTGTCTGATCTTCCGCTCCACAGGGATAAGCACTTCCGTGAGATGGAGAAGAAGCTACGTGAGCTTAAGAAGAGCCCACGGAAGAATGCGGAGGAGATAAAGGACCTCGAGTATGACATGAATGATCGCGTGCATGAGCTGGCCCGACGCCAACTCTCGGATGACCGACACTACTTACCTCTTGAACTCTGCGGTGTCCTGTTGGGTGACCTCCGGCTTGACGAGGACCCGGAGTTCAGGGAGCTGGAGCTGCAGCGCCGCAACCTCAAACGGGACCCGAAGAAGAACGCAGAGGCCATTCGTGAGGTGGAGGATAAACTCACCGACCGCGCCTTCATGATCGCCGAAGAATTTCTGCGCAAGGATAGGGAGTACCTCGACCCTGAGCCAGAAGGCATTCTGTTGGATCGCGTGCCACTTAATGACGATCGACAGTTCCGCGAAATGGAGCAGGAGCGCCGCAGGTTGATGAAGGATCCTAAGAACAAAGCTGCGGTGTGTGAACTTGAGGAGCGGCTAAATCAACGCGCCCACGAGCTCGCGCAGAGCCTGGTTGGCTGGCAGGATCCTGAGTTCCACGAGGCCAACAAGCACGTCGCCGAGGAGTGGCCGCGCATATGCGAGCTGTACCCGGAGGGCATCCGCGAGGATGTCGTGCCGGAGCGGACGCTGCCGTCTGATGTGTGTTCGGCACCGGACTGCGCGGGTTGTCTGGCACCTTTCATCGCCGCTCTTAGTCGCCATCCTGTGCTAATTGAGCGGTTGTTCGAGTCAAAGACACACCCCGTCAACACTCCTTATGTCTTCACATTCTTCGACCCCAACAGTAAACCGGTGCGTATTGAGATTGATGACCGTGTCCCAGTGAATGTGCACATGGAGCCAAAGTTTACGCAGGTGCCGCATCGCTCGTGGTACCCGCTGCTGCTTGAAAAGGCGTACGCCAAGTTTGTCGGAGGTTACGCCAGGCTGGATCAATGCACGCCCCATGAGACCCTGCGGGATCTGACGGGCCGGCCGGTACTGCATATCCCTTTTGACGACAAACTGGCTGAGGCGGCGAACACGGGCGATTACAAGACGGTCGGGTTCTGGATCGGTGTTTCAAAGGAACTGGAACGGGGAGATGTTATCACATGCATGTCGAACCTGGAGTCTGAGGATGGCATCCACCCGCAATGCAGTTATGCTCTCATGGGAGTCATTCATACTGTGAAGGAGTCTAATGATCCTTCCGATATTGTGATCAAGCTGCACAACTGTTACTATGATGAGCCGCTTTACACCGGGCCACTCAACCAACAAGATCCCAATTGGACGGAGGAGCTGAAGAGGATTTGTAGGTTTGACGCTGAGGAGAATGACGTTTTGTACCTGCCACTCCCGACTTTCCTGCGAAACTTCTCGAGTATGCAGCGGTGCCATATTAACTGTGGTGACCGACTGAGTTCTCCAGGTGAGTGGAATGAGTTCACCTGCGGAGGCAACCCGAAGTTCACCACATTCCGCAACAATCCGATCTACCTGGTGGAGAATAAGTCCTCGCGTCCGGTTCCAATTGTGGCGGAGCTGCGCCACCACGCGCCTGCCTTCTCTGACCCTGATGGCCTGAACCACTACCACCAGACTGGGTTGGTGCTGATGCAAGCGGTGCAGGCCAAGATGCCGGTGAGTCCACTCATCACAAACGGTACCCACCGGTTTATACAGAAGGGTATGATGCTCGACGCGAGGGAAGTGTGCTCGCAAATGGAGCTGCCGCCCAACACCACATGCTACCTCATCCCATACACGATACGGCCTGGTTGCTATGGCAAGTTCAGCATATCGGTGTATCCTGGTATGGCTAAGGTGACGCTGACGCCGATGCGTGGTGCGGGTCTCAAGCGCGAGCCGTTGACAACAGAAGTGACGCTGAAGCCCGGTAGTGAGGGTAGCCGAGGCGCCGACTTTCATGTCAGCGATCCGTGCGATGTTCACGTGCTGCTGCGGCAGCTGAAATTCGACGACGAGATGATGCGGCATGGTGACTGCTTGGCAGATAGCGAAGTGAAAATGCTCGTGTTCGATGAGCACGGCATCAGAGTGGCGACTACTGGAGATGCGACGAATGCCCGGGAGCAGGCGCTTGTCTTCCGCGCATCGAAGGGTGGTTTCTACAGCATCGTAGCGGTGTGCATGGAGTGTGCGTCGGTCAGTGGCTGCCCGTGCGTTTTGCAGATCTTCACACCGAAGAACGTCGTGGCGAGGATTGCGTCAGCGCCGCTTGCCGTGCCGCTACGCATCGGCGTGGCGCTGCCAAGCATCACGACAACGCCGACGCGCTCCTCGCGTGCTCGGACAGACGCGGTTGAGCGCGGCTCGCAGCGCTCCATCTCGGTGGGTCTGCCCAAGATATCCCTGACGCCGTCCAAGCCGGTTGTGCGCTCTGCCGGTGGGCGGACACAGTGGAACTGAACGTCTTTCCACTGACAGCTGAGTGTGTGGGGGAGTAGGGTGGGGGGGAAGAAGCTGCATGGCTTTGTGCTGTTACTATTGCTGCTTCATTCTCTCTTTTTCCCCCACCCCCACGGGAAAGGAAAAGGGTTGGATGTGCATTATGTATAAATATATGCTTAGTGTTCACAATAACTATGTATTTATTGATATTTATATGCACATTCATCGATGCATATGAAAATGTATGAGTCAACTTTCAGCCATCGCCATATGTGAACCTTCTCTTTGCTGATGCCGAGGATGATAATTATGGCCTGCAACTGCACACCTTCTCACGCTCTCATGTTGCTCCTCTGGCGGAAGTGAGGTGCTGATAAAAGAAATAAGAAGAAAAAAAACAACGGCTTTTTTGTCTTATTGTCTTTCTATGTGCAGTGGTGGATATCGAACAGAAGAGAGGCGTGGAAGGGAGGTGTAAAAATGTGTCACGCTTGTATTTTTTTTTGTCTCTGGATTGTTTTTTGTTAGCGCGGTTCTTCCCTCAGCCTCTCTCTCTCCCCCTGCGGTGCCCCGTTGCGGTGGTGCGCGGCGGTTACGCTGTGCGGCGGATGACCTTTTTTTTTGTCTTTTCTCCCCGCCCGTCTGCGAGGGCCGTTGGGGGACGGCACGAGCAGCGGCGCTGGATGGCCGCAAGCAAGCGCGCGGACAGACAGATACACACAGGGCGTCACTCGCTGTCCTCTTGGGGACCCGGCGACCGCCGCAACTGCGCCTGTTGGAGGGTAAGCCACCAGGCGTGCGGGCGGCGAGCGCCGGGATGGAGACGGTGTGTGCTGCTGCGTGCACGCACGTGTGTATGTGTGTGTTTGTGTGTGACTCAACTCCTTGCGTTTCTCTCCCCCGCCTTCGCGCATCTGCCCGTGGCGTGGGGGGAGTGTTTGCCGCGTGCGGAGAAAAAGCACCTGTGGGGAGATAAGCAGAGGCAGGATTGAATCGTTGGAAACGTCTGAAAAAAAAAGAACGAATCGAATCTAGCATGCGAAAGAGGGCTTTCTTCTTCACACAATTGTGAACACTCTGTTGCTGTTGTTGTATGTGTGTGCTGTTGTTTTCTTTAGGTTTTTTCGGGGCCCTTTCTTCTTTGCGTGTGCACCCGCACTCTCAAAGCAGCGGCGAGGGACGCAACGCGCAGCAACGCAATGGGAAGGATGGCAGTTGCACGTTCTTCCTCTGCTTGTTCTGCTGCTGTTGTTCGTTGCCTCACATGCCATGGCCCTTTCTCTATATTGACCACACGATTCTTCTTCGTCTGTGATGCCATGTCGCCTGTTCCTTTTGTTTTCGCTCCTGTATTTCTTTTTTGTTTTTTGCCGCGCGGATATATATCTATATATATATATATATATATATATAAAGGGCATCGCCGCATACGTCCCTTTTTCCCTTTACCGTACCGTTGTGTTTATGAGCCCCGCCCCACCGAGGAGCAAGTTTGTTCGTCGCATCGTGGCCTGGGCGGCCCCCTTCGGACGCCCGCCCACCGGGGTGTTTGTGTTTGCGTCTATCTCTGTGTATGTGTGTGTTTTTGCTTTCTGTGCGTGTATGTGCATTAATATATGTGCATGCCTGTGTGCGTTTCCTTCTGTGTGTGTGTGTGCCGCCACTGCACCGATGTAAATGACAGGAAGACGTGCTGGGCCGTGACTGCGCTTTCCGCTTCTTATTTTGTCTGTTGCTGCAGCTATGTTGCCTCGTGATAGCACTGAGCAGATGCATCTCTATTCACGGCACAACCGCTCCCTCCTTCTCTCTCTTTCTTTCGTTCTGTCTTGTTGTTTTTTCACTGTGTCCCGCACATGACGCCAGGGGATAGGTCAGGATTAAGGGAGAGCTGTGCTACTCGAGCGAGGCAACCTCACACACAAGCAGCGTAGAGATACAAGCGAGGGCGCCTCTGTGCACCAGTGCAGCCACCCAGTGCAACTAAACACCACCACAACCAGAAGCAGCAGCAGCAGCAGCAGCAACGATGCAGGAGCGCGGCAAGGTGAGCGGCGGCGCCATGGCGTACACATTCCAGCACCCGCCGCAGGAATTTATGCGGCCGCAGTACCGCGACCCCACCGGCTCCATGGGCCGAAAGCAGTACGCCAACATCATGCACGACCGCCGCGTCTACAGGGGCAGCACGTACGCCGCTGTGCCGATGTCGGTGCATGCCAAGGAGGAGCAAGCGCGCGAGGAGCGGGAGACGCTGCGGCGCAAGAAGGAACTTACGCAGCGCGCGACCTCGATCAAGCGTCGCAAGGAGCTCGACGCAGCGCAGCGGCGCCTCGCAACGCCGCCGCCAGTGACGGGCCGCCAGCACATCGAGGTGCAGACGGAGGAGTTCCTCGAGGAGCTCAAGGACGAGGTGGAGGCGGTCCCGCAGGAGACACAGACGGATCCGATGCTGGATCGCCCGGCAACGCCAAAGTACGTTCCATTGAAGACGGGGCGCGATGCGGAGTCGCAGATCAATGAGGGCGACCTGTTCCACTTCGACGAAGCGGTGGACCCCATTCTCGATGTGATGGTCGGCAAGACGCTTGAGCAGGCGATGCTGGAGGTGCTGCAGGAGGAGGAACTGGAGCTGCTGCGACAGCAGCAACTGGAGTTCGAGCAGCGGCGTAAGGAGGAGCTGCTGGAGGCGCAGCGTCTCGAGGCGCGCGAGAAGCGCCTCTTCGAGGAGAAGGAGCGGCGCAAGAAGCAGGAGGCGGAACGCATCAAGCGCGAGAAGGAGACACGAGAGAAGCTGCAGGCGCGGCAGTTCGCCAAGGTGTATTTGATGAACCTCGAGAACCGCGTGTTTGCGCGGCTGCAGGACGAGGGGTGGTTCCGCGACCGCGTGCTGCACGAGGTGGAGTTCGACTTCTTCCCGTGGCTCATGGACGAAGTGGCGGCGGAGATGGAGCGGAAGCGGCGCGCCCGCGTGCTGGTGGACGACCTCATTCGGCAGGTAGTCGCCGTGCAGCTAGAGGGATAGGCAGCAGTAGCAGGAAGGCGGAAAGGGGGGAGAGAGAGAGCAAGAGAGAGCGATGCGGTTCAGTCCAAGCATGTGTGGCGTGAATTGCCTCTCCACTCCTTTTGTTTCTGTTTTGTGCCCTTTTTTTTTTTCGTTCTAGTCCTCCGTCCAACCGCTGCGTAATGGTGCGAGGTGGGGAGAGAGCGCAGAGGGGGGGAGCAGGGCGGTCCCCTCGCGTTTGTTTATATTTATTTATATAGAGAGAGTGAGAGAAGGAGGCGCAGGGATCGTGTGGGAATGGAAACGAAATGGTGAAAGTACGGTCTCTCCCATTCTTTATGATTCTTGGTCTCACGCACAGACACACCCATGCGTCTCTCCATTCTTTTTTCTTTGCTGCTCCTCTCCTGCTGGCGTTTTTCTTTGCGTATTTTTCGCCAGCGGAGAGTTGCATGCACAACATGTAACGAGACTTGATGTACGGCCTGTTTTGTGTCCTGTGTTGTTGTCGGTTCCCCCCTCCCCCCAATGCCTCGCCGCTTCCATCCCGAGTAGGACACACCGCGCGCCTCGCCCCCGAGGTCTGCGAGGTGTGGGCCCCCGGCCGCACCGCAGCCTTGTTGTTGTTGTTGCTGTTACTGCTGCTCATTTTCATTTTCCGCTGTCGCGCGCACTCTTGTGATCTGCGTTCTCCCCCTGTCTCCCTGCCCCCCGCTGTGGCGCGCAGTGTGGCGGTGGCTACAGCTGCACCCCGTTAGCGTAGCGAAACGATAGCGCTGCAGAGCGCACCTTCTTGGCCCGCCCCCACCGGTCCAGCATGAGTCTTCGTAGCGGCCGCTCCTCGTCATCGTCGTCGACGGCGGGATCACGGCGCCCGGGCGACAGTGCGGCGGTGGTGCCGCGCTTCGAGCTGACGAGCGTCGTGCACGAGTTGGACGAGCCGCTGCTGTGCGTTGACTGCCAGGCCGACGTCATGGCGCTGCTTGGCACC